TTTTTTTTTTTTTTAAATATTAAGGCAACATGGCTAGTGCTGTCACCACGGCAGAGCAGATGAGGATATTATTTTAGTCCGGGGCAAAAAAAATTTTTACGACTGCGGATTCGAACCCAGGTCTACCGCACATGAACCCAGTGTTCTAACCATTCGACCAAGCAGCCACTTAATCGGAACAACGAAAAGAGAACTCAACTATTAGACATGTGAGTCCATACTACTGTGTCGCGATTAAAACACAATTCAAAACCGCAGGCAATTGTTTTCTCGTAGACAGATACTCCAGATATATTATTGAAATAGAAATCGCACGTGTCTAACACGGTTAATGAAGTTAATGACGCAGTCACTGTCTGCGCCGACGTCGAGATAGTCCTTGATTGCCCCCCCCCCCCTCCCCCATCGAAGGTTGTTTGAAAAAAAAAACAGAAAATAGAAATCGTGTTTAATATGGTTATTGTGGCAAATATAGAGATAGTCTTGTTTGCTGTACCACGACCTACTCTATGTATTAGTATTAGAGAAGGCGTTGGCTGCACGTAACTCGCCGGCGAATGGTAAATACGGCGCATGCGCAATTACTAACGTGGCTATAATTAGAAATCACTAAAGTTATAAATATTAGTTGCGTATATTTTGGCATAAATTGTGGTCACCTATCTCTAACAGTGACAGGTTGAATTTCAAACCACGACAGTTCAAAATCCGGTATCACAACAAACATATCCTGAAAATTTCAGCTAAATCGGTTCAGTAGTTTCCGAGTCTATAAGGGTGAAACAAACACACAAACATTGATTTTTATATATATAGATAGGTAAAAATAAACGAAATAATAAATTATTAAACTGTTTAATACTGCCTGTGATTTAATGTCAACGGAAGATGGTAGAAATGACAGAGAAACAGAAACCAGATGTCAGAAAGCAAGTGCAATTATATACCAACTGTCACCATTATTAGGACATTGAGTGCAAAGAGACAGATTATAAACAGCATATTCATTCCAGCATTAAGCTACAAGTGCCTGATATGGACATTATCTAAAGCCCATATACGCAAAATCACCACGTGCAAGATAAGATGCCTGAGAAAAGCAGCCAACCTAACCATTCGAGATTGAATGAATAATGACGCTATCAGATAAATTGTGGGAACAACACCTTGTACTAGATTCATCGAGAAATAGCAGATCAAGTGGTTTGGCCATCTCGTTAGAATGCAGCAAGATCAAATACCATCACAAACACTGCATCTCAAAAGATCAGCTACAAAAGCAAGAGGACAGCCGCGGAAAGTATGGATTGACAACATTAAAGACACTACACCTTCACTGCATGACGATAGCCAGTGGCAGCCAGCAGCATGCACTGGATCGCAAACAATTCCTCCCCACTACGCTTTGCGGCAGAAGTGGTTTATGATGATGATGAATAATTTAAAAAACTGTTTCAGTTTAACTGTATATCAAATCCATTTATTAAAGATGATATATTATGACCAAACAGAACAGTGTATTTACCATGCCTTTTCCACGTGTCTTTGCTGACGAGACATCTGTAACAATTGCTGTGCATAGACTAACATTTCCTTTGCTTACTCCACCAACAATCCTGGCTATCACGAACACAAAGAAGTTGGTAGAAACAGCCCAGAGTATGTAAGAAAATGATATTCCCAACTGAAAAAAAAAGAGAAAATTTAGACAAAAAGGTATCTTAAGATCCTGGAAGTAAATCATAAATACAAATTATCTAATATATCTAATAATCACACCAAGTCAAGATAATACAGCAACACATATTGTACAGGTACATGAATTTTAAAAAATACATAAAATTCATTAGCAGCATTTAGTTATTGACTGCTTCCTTCTTCTTCTCCTTCCTTTTCCTTTGTTACCTTAGCTTTGATATTTCATGTTATACTTGGTATGACCCTAATATCTTATTGCTCATCGGCTTGTGTCATACTATATTAGTTTCTACCGGCCGAAGAGGTCATCAACAAAACTATATTATCATACTCTGTGCCCAGCAAACGTGACAATGCAGCAGATGCTGGATTAAGAGTATGGAATGTGAAGTATTTATAAATTCTAGGTTACAGCTTCATAATGTGAAATAATTAGCTCCCCCTCCTCCATTTATTTTACAACAGAAATACAAGAAAGAAGTTGAGATTAGAGGACACAAAAAACATTATAAAAAAATAGAAATCCACAAGGATTAATTGAACTTGTAATCTAAAAAAATGACAACAATTCACTGAACTCTAAAAGTGAAAAAATGATTGTTGCTTTCTCCTATTCTTTCTCACTTATGTTGCCTGTTCCTGTTAAAAATGTATAATGATGTGAAAGAACACTCAAACATTTAACTCACCAAACATATTAACATCAAAGGTCTTCTCCCATACACATCTGATGCTGCCCCAATGACTGGAGATGTCAGAAACTGCAGCAATGAAAAAAGTGACCCAATCAGACCTGAAACTAAATATCATTGCTTAGAATTTTTTTTTTTAAAGATAAAATGAATCAACAAAGCACTGATAGATAAAGCAGTGTTCATGTCTGTTTTATTTCCTTTCAGGGTTCTTAAGCACTGGATAAAACTGTGCTGGTTACTGAAGAGGATAGAGTTTTTGAGGAAATCACACAAGTAAATTATTTAATTTTGATTATTTATTCATTAACTCCTGCACCGGATTAAATATCAATCAGTTACCATATTTGAAGCAGAATATGAACAATTAAATTCCAGTATATGTCTACTGCAATGGTGTAACTGGTTTTGATTGATTCATAAAAGTTTTTCAAGTATTTGAGCCAATAATCCTAAGAATTTGTCTAGAGCTACTAAACTGGAAAGACAATGCTATTGCTATAAAAAATTTTTTTATAATTTTCAAAAATGTTTTTACTGTCCTTTAAACATTTTACAAACTTACTAGCATGAGACACTTTTGAAAATGGTTTTTTTTTTCTATCTAAAAAAAGGCAAGTGTTTATTTTATATCATGGGAGTTACCGTGTGCGGATCAGATGGTCGTGGGTTCGCTCCCTGGTGGATCCTGACTTTTTTTTTTAAAATGACATTGACTCCCAGGTTGACCAAGCCTCGAGTGGATACCAGGTGCAGTCCCGGGAAGTAAAGGCAGCCGGTGTTATGCTGACCACATCACCCATCTTGTGCCGTTTGGTCTATAAAAATATAGGTCTAGCCCTATATGTCTATAGGCGTGGAAAATGATCCTTTAATTTATTTATATTGTGTTCCTTCTCAGCATGTAAATGTTTTTTTTAACAACCAACTTTTTATTGATTTTGATTAATTCAGTAGCTGTTAACTGAGTGCCATATCTGTATTTTCTAAAGTTTTAACTGTTTTTTAATCACATTCAATTAATCTTTATGTCTTTTCCAAAATATTTCTGAAATTTTGTAAACAGATCCATGTCAAATATACATTTCAGTCTCTAAATGTATTGCTCTTGGTTAAGATATCTCTTCCTGATGCTGTTATGTGACTGCATGTTTTTACAGGAGCTTGTGACAATCCTCAAAAGCTAAGATGCTTTCTCTAGTTTAATACCTATATGCAACAAAACAGGACTTGTCAGAAATAAATTCTCTATTGTATAGAACTGAAGAGTTTGGCTGATGATCAAGGTGCAAAATAACCTTATGATAAAGACCCCAGTCAGATAAAGGAAAAGTAAAGGGTCTTTTTTCAGACCACAAGCTGGGGTAATGGACCCGTTTTATACCAGTGGCATATAGGGGATACGATGTTAGGCTCATATTTTTTATACACCATTCATAATTTTGTGGGTGATGAGATTGCCATAATTCCAGACATCTTTCTTTCCCAAAGTATTTGCTGGAACCAATTTTAGGCTACGCTGAGCTACAATACAAGGTCAGTTTTTGAAAAAAACCTGCTCCAATGCTATTACAAACTCAGGTGAGCTTCTACTATATTACGGCTTCCACTATTATGCATTTTTATAGATAAGCTGGTATTTAATGGGATACGTTGCCATATCATACAGGCTACCTTTTTTTCCCAGAGCATTTCCTGGTAAACATTTGGGTAGACCAGAATTTCTCGACAATTGTTTTTAAACCTCTATCTCAAGAGGAGTTAGAAAAATACATGAAAATCCCCCAAGCCAGCAGATTCTGCACCAGCAGCTTTCTCTGCACCAGCAGCTTTCTCTGCACCAGCAGCTTTCTCTGCACCAGCAGCTTTCTCTGCACCAGCAGCTTTCTCTGCACCAGCAGCTTTCTCTGCACCAGCAGCTTTCTCTGCACCAGCAGCTTTCTCTGCACCAGCAGCTTTCTCTGCACCAGCAGCTTTCTCTGCACCAGCAGCTTTCTCTGCACCAGCAGCTTTCTCTGCACCAGCAGCTTTCTCTGCACCAGCAGCTTTCTCTGCACCAGCAGCTTTCTCTGCACCAGCAGCTTTCTCTGCACCAGCAGCTTTCTCTGTATTTGTAGCAAACACATGGTAAGGTTAATAAAATACCAATTATTGTGGCTTTTCCTTTCCTAAGTCTATGTGGTTGTAATTCTAGCCATGCAATGTCTACATACCGTCATGGAATAGGTTGGCTATTGGAAGCTGCCAGGGGGTTTTTCCATAGTGTTTTAAAGCAAGAAAGAAGAATTGTGACTGTTTCAAATAGGTCTGAGAAATGTTAAATTTGTTTGTTTGTTTTTTTTGTTTGTTTGTTCAACTTGAACATTTAACACATGCTACAATTTATATTAAAATTATTCAACAGACTATTCCCTATCTTTCCAAACATAAGTATGTAGCTAAATATAGTTAATCAATGCAACTTATAGAACATTATGAAGTAATAATAATAATAATAACGACATTGGTAATTCTATTGTTCATATACATAAGAAAAAATAAAATATTTTACTTGAAAACTTGTATTATGTACACAGCACTAAAAAAAATTCTTTCAAAGAAATAACGAACCTCCAAACAAAACAGAATTCCATCGTGGTGTATCAGGAGCTCCTACAAAACTGCGAAAACTGGACACACTATTTTTTAGTGCTGAGTACAAACCTGACTGAGTAAGACAGTTTTTCATTAGACTAAAAATTCTGAAATGTTATATGTGTAGTAGGCATGTAAATACCTTTGATACTCAAATAAAATCCTCTATGCACCCCTTTATAATCTTTTATGTCCTCACATATCATCATCATCAAGTACCTGGGTGATCATGCCTCTCCATAATTTGTGATCTTCAACAGCATGTATCAGTTTGTGTTATGACACCTCTGCATGCCACGACAAAAGACTGTCAAGAATCATCTCATGATGTCTTCCCTAGTCTCTTTTTCTGCAGATCTTTCCAGTGGTCACAACACCTTCTAGTTTTCCTCCCTTTCATAATATAACAAAAACAATTATGACTGTCTCCTTTTGATGTCTGTGATAAGTGGTCTTTGTGCCATTACTTTTTTATAACATCTGGGCTACTCTGAAATAAGAAACAGAATTGGACAGGAAAAAACTGCATTTTATAAAATGCAAAACATCTTGTGCAATATATCCTTGTCATTGAGAGTTAGAAAAAGAATTCTTGCTTGCTACATACATCCAGTTTTAACATATGGATGTGAATCCTGGACAATCGGTAGGCAGGCCAAATAATTTTTAGAGGCCTCAGAGATGTGTTTTTACAGAAGAATGCTTAGAATACCTTGGACAGCCAAAAAGAGCAACCAAGAGGTTCTGAAAGAGGCGGGAGCCTGAAGACAACTTATGACAGACATCAGAAGGAGACAGTCATCATTATTCGGCAATGTTATGAGAAGAGGGAAAAATAGAAGATGTTGTGACCACTGGAAAGATCTGTGGAAGGAGAGATAGAGGAAGACAACGAGAGAAGATGCTTGACAGTCTTGTTGCATGGCATGGAGGTGTGTCGGCACACGAACTGATACATGCTGCAGGAGATTGCAAATTATTGAGAGGCATGATCGCCCACGCCAGTCGGCAAGGCACCTGATGATAATGATGATGATGGGCTACTCTTTTAGGCTGTCCAAGGAATTCCAAGGATTCTCCTGTAAAACCATATCTCTGAGGTCTCAAGAAATTGTTTGGTTTGTTTATTAATTGTCCAGGATTCACAGCAGTATGTTAAAACTGGCTCCATAAAGAATGTGAGAATTCTTGTTCGAACCTCCAATGACACAGATTTATTGCATAAAATGTTTATTTTATAAAATGTGGTTTATAATCTATACCTAAACTATATCCACAATGGAGACTGACTGTTGGATATGTGCAGCTGTTTTGTGAATATTACAAGGGAAGGCTCCAATCTCTTCTACAGTGCAACTCTCATACCATTGTTTGAAAGTCATAAGTCTTTTTCTAAACCACCCAACACAGAAATCGAACCCTCATACACTGAGGATTGAGAAATGCATTCAGTAAATTCTAAGCCATAGAGATGAATTATAACTTTGGAAATGCATAAATGCTACAAATTTTCTTGCTAATTTAGGAGGGAAATATTCATTGACTGATCTAAATGCCTTTACTTTTGATAACACTTTAGCTGGTACAGAATTAACACCTACAGCAAGATGCTTAAGAAATACTTAAGATCTTCAACTCTTGTGTGATTCCAGTGCTAACTGATGGATGTGAGAGTTAGAAGGCAACGACCACTGGATCCAATACGCAAATAAGACAAGAGACCAAGCAAGACAATGTACCCAGTTTTATAAGAAAGCGCTGCTGGAAGTACATCAGCCATGCATTCAGAATGGAAAAGACAAGACTTTCCCCATCAAGCCCTCATATTGACACCAGGAGGGAAAAGAACATGAGAAAAATCAAGACAGACTCTGTGTAGAACCACATCAGTGCTCATCCCTAGGCCTAACAAACATCCAAGACCTAAAGCAGGTGGCTATGACCTCTGCGCTGCCCTAAGCCCAAGAGGAAAGACTAACTAACTAACTAACTAAACAGACACTTCTTTCTTATTACAATAAAATAAAATATACTGGTCATATTGGAGAACACTGTGAAAACTGGAAAGATCAGTGGAAAAGGGGTAGAGGCAGACCAAGAGAGATGATGCTGGATGGGCTAAAACGATGGCTTGGAAGGATATCATAAAGAGAGCTGTTCCAGGCTACCAGGGATCATGATCTGTGGAGAGGCATGAGTGCCTACGCCAGTTGGCAGGGCATATGATGATGATTCGGTCATATAAATGTCACAGTGGCATCTATTGCAGCTATTTTGCCTGACATTGCTCACATTTTCTCATCATGTGCATTTCTACCAAATTTAAATCAGCATGCAATTAAGCTTGAAAAATGAATTCTTTCAACTGAAATGCCATAAAATCTCATTTACATGAGCTCGCTTCACATGAACAAAATGTTGATCCCAGCAGATATCAGTTAGTCCTTGTTCAGCATATTTTTTTTTTTTTAACAAGGCCTTTTTATTTTGATTTTTTTTATTTCCTTGGAATTTGTGTTAATGAGGTTTTATTCATCATCATCATCATTAACCACTTCTGCCATTAAGCGTCGTGGGGAGGAATAATTTGCGATCCAGTCCACGTTGGCTGCCACTGGCTATTGTCATGCCGTGAAGGCATAGAGTGTCATTAATGTTGTCGATCCATTTTTTCTGCGGCTGTCCTCTTGCTCTTGTAGCTGATCTTCTGAGATGTAGTGCTTGTGATGGTATCTGATTTTGCTGCATTCTAACGAGATGGCCAAACCACTTGATCTGCTGTTTCTTGATGGATCTAGTACAAGGTGACGTTTTCACAATTTGCCTGATAGTTTCATTATTCACTCGAGGTTTTACTACTATACAAAAATTATAACATCTCTTTTTAGACCACAGATCTCCCCACAGAACTCTAAGATTAACCATATGATCCATGAGTTTTGAACAAGGTTTGAGGTTTGAACAACGAATCAACATCATGGCACACAGGTAGTAACCCATAAGTGCTCCGTTCTTCTTCTAACTCAAGTCTGAGTCTGTAGAAGCTCAGCACAGTGCACAGGCTCTGTAGCACCGGCGAGGATCCTGAAATACTTTGGGTAGATTTTTAACTCCAAATTTCATATGATCCATTCGTTTACATAATCCCCATTCCGGGAAGATTAAGAATGTAATATTAATAACTAATTCAGCAACACATCTACACAATTAATATATTACTCAATAATCATTAATACCTCATCATTTTGGCTGTAATGATCCAGCAAAGACGGTAACAATGGTAGAATAACTGTAAATGCTAAGAGATCAAGAATCAGGGAAATAAAAACCGTGTAGTAAACTCTGTTCATTAGTTTTTCTTCCTTCATGTTGACTGGTGACTGAACTTCATTTCTATTATCATCATTTTGCTCATCAAGGTTTTTACCACTCCTCATCTTCATTTCTCTGGGGACAATTTTAAAACACATTAATTATTAGCATTTATACCTCCAACTCCATTTAGCTAACTGATTGTGTGTGTGGGGGAGGGGGAGTGGGTAGATTTGTGTGTGTGTGTGTGTGTAATATTTATAGAGGAAAGTAAGTTTAACTGTAAAACGCCAGTGAATAGACTTGTGCAGCTCTATAGGTGGTATGTAAGTGCTTTGCTGGGAAAAAAATGTAAATCATCACGTTCAACTAGCATCCCCGAAGGAAGAGCTTTAGGTTATAATTGCAACTAGGTTATGTGCGCCATATAAAATAGCTTGGCACTGCACACCAACAAGAGCCCTGAAAAGGACTCCTGTAGTGTTGATTTGATCAATGGAGACAGACCCAAATACTGTCCCAATCGGCAACAAAGTCATTTACCAGCAAGCCAAAGGGTAACCCGGTCACTGATACGCTATAGTGGAGTTCTTTGACTTACAGGTTAGTGAAGTGGATAGCAGAAAATAGAGTAACCAACAAAATTACTGTGTCTGATTCTCAGTCATTCTGTGAAAGGTTCAGAACGGACAAATATGGCATGAATGGATACCAAGCATCAGAATGTCAACATTACAGGGACTCAGGTGGATATACTGTCGCGGATATGCAGGAGTGTGAGGAAATGAAAAAGCAGATTTTCTGACTGCAAAAGTGATAGCTATAGGAACACTCGCACTAGACAAAGGAGAAAAGCTGAAGACCATTTATGAACAAATACTGACTGAAGACATAAGGTTAGATAAAATAACGTGTGTACAAATTTGTGAATGAGGAATTAGTTGTGGATCAGGCATGGAGGGATGTATAAAAGAAAGAGAATGACGAATTTGTTATCAGCATGCTACAGGAACAGTTAGAATCTATACCTTAAGACATTTGCTGCAGGAGGCAGATCACCAATGCATATTCCCGGTATGCTATGATGTTGATTTTTAAATCAGCATCTGCCTGAGAGGCAAGGAACCAATAGTGTACATAAACAAAAGTCACATTTGTAAAAAGGATGCACATGCAACACCCAGACTCTGGAACAGGACTATAGTCCAGAAGTGGACGAACAACCAGAACTTTCCGCCAGAGTTTACAGCTGGTGAACGCGAAGAAGAAGAAGAAGAAATCAGCAAATAATTAATCAGAGGTCAGTGAATGATTTTTGTCATCCTCAAGTACCAGAACTCATTGCTGCCGAAGGTTTTTAACAAAAATGATCTCCAGATTTGTTAATGATGGTACAAGAGTCAAGGCTGTGGAAGAGATTGTTGCCTCACCATATAATATTCCTAAAGAAAGCAGTGGATACTATAGCAACCTTCATTTATACAGAAAATACTTTTTTTTGTCCACAGACTTGGAGAGCATCTAAGATCTCAAAAGTGCTTGTATGTATCTATCAGTGAGATCAATGTACAGACTTTCCTCTAAATTGGTACAAAAGTATTATGTACTTGAGGGTCCTGAGTCAGATCTTTCTTTTCCCTCTTTAAGATCAGAGAACAGTAAGGTAAGAAAAACCAGTACAGGAACTTCAAATGTGGCAGTCCTTGGAACATTAGATAGATAGGGGAGCCCATCTGCATATTACCCACACCATACTTATAGAGATGTTTCAAGTGAGATCTGACTGACTGACTGACTTTCTACTCCACTAAGACACCACACAAGCGATAAACACCCGATGACACAAAAGTGCCACCATGTGGATGAGGATCACCGTGGAGAGGTCCCAGAAACCGCGTTCAGACAATTGGCCATATTTACGACCTGCCTATATTGCGGCCCCTGGCAAAAGCCAGAGTGGGGCTTCAAATAACAAAAAATTACGTCATGAGAAGGACGTAAGGATATTTCAAGTGAGATCAAGTAACAATTTGATATAAGCAGCTTCTTCGGGGTAAAAAATCTGCTTCTTCCACTCTCTGGATTTTATCCACTGCCTTTAATTCTACTTGAAAATAAAATTATTTTACAAAAAGTCTTTCTATCTATCTATCTTCTTTGACCCCCCCCCCCCCCCCCCCCCAGGACATCACAGAAGTGATAAAAACCCGATGACACAAAGTGCCACCATGTGGATGAGGATCACCCGTGGAGAGGTCCCAAAAACCCTGTTCAGTCATTAGACCATATTTATGGCCAGACTATATTGCAGCCCCTGGCAAGAGCCAGAGTAGGGCTTCAAATAACAAAAAATTCATCTCACAAGGAGATGACAAGATTAATTAAGCAAAAAAGTCTTTGACATTATCTTCTTCTTCTTCTTCTTTTCTCTGCTCCTGAAATACATTATGAAAACAGAATAATTCCTCTCCAGCTGTTATAGTCAGTAAGATTACCTTTCTTTGGAATTTTAACAATTATTCCTTTCTTCCACTACTTTTGGGATATTTTCCTTTGTATAAATTTTGGTAAACAAATCGGCTATTCTCTAAATAACGGTTCTAAATTATCTACGCAGAAAGTAATCCCTAACAGGGCCCCAGTCACGCGTCAATTGCGCGGTTCCGTCGTCTTGAAATGCAAGCTTCCGGCGACTTCCGCCGCTGCTGAATTGAGAATTTTCTGCAACCTCCGCCAAGAGTACTCCCCTGCCGCTCACGCGGCGTGGATTGGGGCTAAACTAGATGGCTGGGACTCACGCATTTCCTGCAGCTGCCGTCATTTTATTTGCTCGTGAGTCCTAGCCATCTAGTTTTGCCCCAATCAACGCCGCGTGAGTGGCGTGGGGAGTACTCTCGGTGGTGGCGGAAGGAGTCGGAAATTCGCATTTCGGCAGCGCCATTATAGTCCTCGGAGGTACGCAATTGACACGTGACTGAGGCCCTGTTAGGGATTACTTTCTGCGTAGATAATTTAGGACCGTTATTCAGAGGATAGCCAACAAATCATTTACTTGGTCTGTGGTTACATTATCTGCTACCTTGAGCATTTCTGCAGCAATATCCCCTGCCTCTTTATTGCTTGCTAATGAATTGATTGCCTCTCTGATTTCCCTGTCCTCCATTAATTGGTAATATGGTCATTTTAATATCTTCATCATAATTATATTAGCTGTTGTGGACTAAGATCTCTTGGAAGTATTCTGCTTATCTCTTCTTCTGCTCACTATCAGATGTAAGCACTTTTTTTAACAGGACTACCCCACAGTTAACTGTTTTAATATATTATATAGTATTTTACTATTTCCACTCTTAGTTGCCTATTCTAATTCTTCTCCTTTATTTAATCAACATATGCTCCCTCATCCCACCTTGCACTACTTTTGATTTGTTTATATCTTTCTTGCTCTTGCTGTTATCTTCTTTACCACTGATTTCTTGTTCCGCTGTTTTAGCACTGACTATAGCAAGCTTCACTGCTTTTCTTTTCTTAATACACTGACATGTGTCATCACTTTCACAAATTTTCAATCATTCTGCTTTACTACTGCTTTACGCACTAATCATTGCGTCTTCTAAAACTGTGGTGTTTACATCATTCCATGTCCATTAACTCTTTGAGTCCCAAGGAACGCGTCACGCGCTGATTTGTTACTACCTAGCGGCCCAAACAGCGCATGATGTGTGATGGTTTTTAATTTACCACTTATCGGTAATTACACGCGAACCGCTTAATTTAAACTTCCTTTCCGGTTCTCAAGTGTGTAGTGAACACACGTGGAGTGCATTCGTTTGGGTCTGGTGAGTTTTTAACGCTTTAAATCGATATTTGTGTGGTCTACTACGTTACCAAACAATTGTCTGAAAACAATATGTCCGATCAGTCATCGTCTTCACGCCCATCAAAGCGATTTACTGCTTTAGAATCATCAAATTTGATAAAACAGTGGATCGATTAAAGTAATGTGGAGTTGGATAATGATAGTAGCGACGTGAAATTTCCCCAAACCGTTGACGAGTCAAGTTTTGATGAGGATGTGTGCGTAATTTACCTCCTGCTAAGAGGACAAAACTGACTAATTCTACCATGGCAACACAAGAGAAGCACCTCGTAATGCCAAACCAGCTAGTCCAAATGTCAGCGCTTCTAGTACTACTATCCATATCGTCTAAAACCATAGATTTATATCTATGAACAGGTTGAAGGGTTTACAGTGCCTTTATAGATTTTTCTATGTGAGGAATTCAATTGTTTTTAGAAAAGTCACTGTTTGGAGAATATATTTTTACGTGTTATGGTAGTGTTATTCAAATTGCTATGGAACAACAACTATCGCACATTTTGCTTCAATATTGGCTGTGCTTACTTATAAGTGGTGTACCTTCCTTTGTGATGCATTTTGGATATACTATATCAAGAATTTTGGGATCAGCTTCTGGGTAAGTGGAAAAAACTTGTTCATAATTTGCTCACCTCTCAAACTAAGTCACTGTTTTCTCTACTAAATGCTAACTAACAGTATAATTGTTTGTTGTAGCAGTAAGCTAACATTAATCCTTATCCATTTATGTTTAATTTTATGTATGATATGTGTATGTTGGACATCAGCTGCAGTTGTGTGATTTGTTTTAAAGTGCTGCATTTGTTAAAAGTCAAAATCAAATTACCCCCCCCCCCCCCCCCCCCCCCCCCCCCCCCCCCCCCCCCCCCCCCCCCCCCCCCCCCCCCCCCCCCCCCCCCCCCCCCCCCCCCCCTTTTGGGCCTGTGATGCAAAACCCCCTGGGACTCAAAGAGTTAAATTCTCTGATCTTCCACTGATTTCCTGTTTTACATAACAATATCTAAATCACAACATCAGGGAACACGGGTGTGCTGAACTTAATAACGATTACCACTGTTATTTCTGCTAAAAATCATAAATGCAATGTCTAGGCCTTAAGGCTAGTCAACAAATATTATATCTTCTGTTTTAGTTTAAATAGTATTAGTAACACTTTAACAGTTACTAATTAATCGAAAGTTAATTAACGTTAATTCAACGTACATTTATGTTCCAAAAGTTTAGCAGTGTTTACTGTTATTTGTCAGCTTT